AGAGAGAGAGAGAGAGAGAGAGAGAGACGCATCGATCATCAAACTTATACATGTACTGCGTGAATGATCGGGGAATAAATCATGCAGACAGTTAATGTCCCCAGTGAATAGATGTGAAAGACAACAAAGCGAGTGATACAAAAAAGCAGTGTTGTAATTATTATCAATATCCCGTGTAGATCTATATAGATCTAGAAGTAAAACACTTCACGAAGGGCGAGCTAATAAAAAAAAAAGACAAACAACACCGCAGATATTATTTCTCGTTTTGAAGAGACTCGAATGAGTAGGCTACCAAAGCCTCATTTATTGTTGCGGTAGAAAATTCTTAAAACTTGTTCAAATACTATGGTTTTTGTTTTGTTTTATTTTGAGACTTGTTATTTAGTAAACCAAATTCTGATGGAAAAGACAGTCACAAGTATAGTTACAATTGTGATTGTAACAATAAAATAATGTATATAATACACGATAGAAACACAAGCTATACCCTACCGGAGCAGATACATTGAAGAGAGCCATTTTGTATACATTGGATACTTTTAAAATCTTGCTTCTCTGCCCCTTCCCATTTCCTTCTGTTTTGCGACAAATATTTGACGAAGCCGGGTGACAGAAACAACAAGAGAGCCTGTAGTGTTGTTTTCAGATGAACTGTTTCCTTGTTTTAAGAACGTTATAGAATCTTAATTATGACATTGTGGGTTTGGGGGTTCGAGGCTCAGCTCTGTCCGACGTTGTGGAGGAAGTTAAAGATTCCACCTCATAAATTTGTGTAATGAAGCCTTTCATTTTCAGAGGAAGAGAGATGGGTGACTGCAAACGCCAGAAAACAACAACAGCAGCAACAAGAACAAGAACAACAACAAATAGTTACATTTATTATATAGTACGCCCTGCAGCATGGTCTATGCGCTGTACAATCATTATTAGTACATGTATGTATGTTGCGGATTGTACGCGTTATTTAAACACATGGATGCTAAAACATAAACTGACCAGATCTTTCGCGAAGTCTTTACTGACTATTCTGATTTGGTGTTCATTTTAGAAGCGAAACTCGTTGACCAGTGGGTTGTCTTCTTACAGCCTTTGCGTGGTATTATCGTTTCCGAGCTCTCCTCTCCGAGATCTAGATCTATGGCTATTGAACAGTTTTGGTACTCGACTACAATTCTCAATCTGAGTCACGCATCCGCGACTCATGACGGACAGACACAACATTCCATGTCGCTCGAAAACAACACCCCCTCCCCGTTTTCCCAAAGCCTTTTCCAGCGCGCCTCACACACGCGCACGCGCACTCTCTCCCAGGTCGCAGTCATCGAATTCTCCCCCCTCCCTCTTCCCCTCCCCTCCTTGCTCCTGTCCAGTGGCGCCAGCTTTGAGCGAGCACTGAATACAGAACTACTCACTCGCTCACATTTGCAGCACACTTCGACAGTGAGTTTTCCGAGAGCGAACGCGCGAGCGTGTGTGGTTGGTTCCCCTCTCTTCGTCCTGTTTGATCTGGGATACACACATTCGAACAACACACTGCATTCAGGCCAAGCTATTATTGGATCTCCGCTCTCCCAGCACATGCAGTGTTATATTTTGGTGTGTTGAAGGTTTCATAAATATTATTCTAGTTTGTTCAACCTTTTGGATTGAGTTTGGAAACCTGCGACAAAATAACACACGATACCCTATCAAAAGCCGCAACACTGCAAAGTAAGTTGGATATCTCATTAGATCCTGTGCTAGATCTAGAATCTATATTATTATTTTCTTTGTGGCTCCTATTCCAATAAATTGGCACTTACTTTCGACTTCAGAGAATTGTTATTATTATGTCGCATTGCGTTCACACATCCCACATTAATCAGAATTACTAATACAACATATCTTTCACGATTTTAATGTCCCTGGCTCTGATATAGATCTAGATCTATATATCTAAACTCGAAATCAACATCAGTATGAAAATAAAGAAGGCTGTCATCATCATCATCATCATCATCATCATCATCATCGTCATCATCATCATCATTGTAAAAAGGTAGTGTAAAAATTGTGTTTACTGACATTTCGGACTGTTAGTTGTAAAGAACATACTTAAAATACGAATCTTGGCATGATGTTGTCCATCATGAGTCAGAGGTTTACGGTGAACAACGTTGTCGCCATCTTCATCATCACCATCATCCTATGACGATCACGATCATCCTCATCAAAATCGTCACCACCACCACCCTCACCACCATCACCACCATCACCATACTTATCATCTCAGCAGCATCAACAACAGCAGCAGCAGCAGCAACAACAGCAAAACAACAATAGCACCAAAGATAACATCAAAGATAAAAACGACAACAACACGGCGTAATGACGCCAAGAATGCGTCGATACTAGTCAGTAATAGTGGAGTCTATTTGGTTGTTGGTTTTTCTTCTTTTTACTTTTTTTTTCATGAGTGATTGATGTTAAGGAAAAAAGAACCCCCCACCCCCCTTTTTGGAGGGTTCATTGTCAAGCTGAGGATTTTTATTTTCGTTTCTTTTACAGTTAATTCTTATCATGTAACGGAGTTATTCTTTCTGTACGTCTGGTCTCCATTATTATAATAATATAAGAAGTATCTCATAAAAACGTCATGTCAAACTCGGGGAATTCAGCCAACCAGTACAGCTGGTAAACAGCATCGCCCCTGATTTTTACATTCGTTAAAAATGTAGAAAACTTAAACAAAACTACCTTGTTTATAATTACACTGTATGTTTTAAATTGCAAGAATAATTTATTTCTTCTCAGTTGGTGTTTGTTTTGTTCAAAAAAGTTAAACAGGAGTGGAGTTAGAGGGATGTTTGTGTTATTAAAAATTGGAAGACAACATTTGCTGTGTACAAAGGTGGAAAAGAGCTAAGAGTAAGAAGGCCTTCTGTAATTCTGAAATATTGTAACATTTAGAAGTTGTAAAATAGACTATGCACTGTAAACATAATAATCTGCCATATCTTATAGACCAACCCCGCCCTGAACTGATAGAATGATAGTATTTTTATAATTACAATCTGTTACCAAAAATGTTTCAGGGGGTCGGGTGGACTTTGTTGTTGTTGTTGTTGTTGTTGTTGTTGTTGTTGTTGTTGTTGTTGTTGTTGTGTGCATGGGGGGGGAGGGGATTTACTTGCTAAAGACATACTATAATAAATTATTAAAACGTTTCTTGCATACACACAGGTCTGTTTAAAATCTTACACGTATACCGAGTAGACGGACAGCAACAAAGATACATGTTACAAGATGTGAGTGGGTTGGTTTGTGTGTGCGTGTGTGTGCGTGTGTGTGCGTGTTTGTGAGTACGTGTGTTGGTGTGTGTTTGTGTGTGTGTGTTCGTGTGTGTGTGTGTGTGTGTGTGTGTGTGTGTGTGTGTGTT